GATACCTCCGCTAGGCCTTGTCTCATGGAGAAGAGGAAAAGGAAGAGATGTTGACCGGCACGGACCATACAGGCTCAGAAGAGCTGGCGATAAAATCTACGAGGATACGGCGTTTTCTCACCCTTCTCGCGCTTAAGACGACGGCCAAGTTCTTCAAGCGCGATGGCTACTGCATCCCTATATCAAAACACAAGATCGTCAAAACAGGCGCATGGGTTCATTTAACGGAGGCAGCAACCATGCAGTTCGTTGCTGAGAACACTTCTATTCCAGTTCCCAAGGTCCACTGCGCGTTTGTCCACAAGGGTCGCGCATATATCGTGATGGAGAGAATACGAAGCCCGAGTATCTCGAGCAACATACAGCCAGAGATATTTTCCCAGCTGAAGGATATATTACAGGAATTACGAGCACTGAAGCCTCCTCCAGGCACAGGAGTTCATAGCTTTGCTGGTGGATCATTATATGATTCTCGAATAGCGCGCTGCCAACCACGGTTTGGACCCTTCAAAACCATCCATGACTTCCATTATTGGCTCAGGGATGGCTTCGAGCCACCTGAAGATCGGCCAAAGCAGATAGAGCCTGATGAATGGGAAGATCTCAAGGAAATGGTGGAGATGCAAGATGGCCCCTGGCCAGAGCCTGTTTTCACTCATGGGGACTTGAATCCATCAAACATCCTCGTTCGGGAAGGAAAAGTGGTTGGTATTATTGACTGGGAGTTTGCTGGCTGGTACCCGCCCTACTGGGAATATACTGCTGCATTTAATGTCATGCTCACAAACACACAATGGCAAGGCCTGATTGGCAAATTCCTTGATCCTTATCCAGAACAGCTGAAGATGGAAAAGACTCGTCAGAGGTGGTGGGGAGAAATATGACAGATGCTTAGGTAGTGGTTAAAGATAACTAATTGCTTGAAACACCCACCCACACCTCTGGTTGACTTTTTATCCCACTGCTCTATCTATCCTATATCCGGGTCTCTGCGCCGAGATTTAATAGGCATTCTTCCAGAAGTTATCTCGGACATAATAGTATACCCACAGCCATCAAAAATCCTATGGCAGCTTTTCCTTGTTGTCAATCATGTCCCAAGTTGGCTTTGGGAGCTTCAGGTCATCTATATTTTTGTATCGGCCAGCAGCAGTCTTTTCACCAACGTACTCCCTCGCTTTTGCTTCAATCTTCTCCCAGTCGAGTATGGATGTCCCAACAGCCTTGCCATCATTTTCTATTGCGGCCAGAGCATTTTTAACCCAAGTACGGCATCTCCAGTTTTCATCATTCTGGACAAGAGGAACTTCCTGGAAGATCTTGACCAGCCTTGCTTCGTCTTCAATCTTGCCAATCATAATGCGAGCGAGCAAGTTGATGGTGTTTTTTACGTTGCGCAGTTTAACTTCTTCATATTCCCATACATTGAGCATAGTGTTCTTGACGTGATAGCGGATTCCGGGCACCTCCTCGGCGTCCTCGACCTTGGGTCCGACCAGGAAGGCCCAGTGGTATCTGTAACACAGTTATATAAGTTAATGCTCCACATGATAGATAGTTGCACTCACTTGCGTTCTGCGTTATTGGTAACTCCGCTGGGGTACAGCGCGACGTAGAGTCGTTTCTTTTGAGAAACCATCTTGGTTATTGCTCGGAGCGGTTTGAAATACCTGAGACTTGTATGGATAGTGATTCTGATCCTTAACGTGACTTGCGTTTTAGCCTTAGGATGCTGATAATAACAGTTCAATACTGCCTGGTTGCTGTTGGCGTTATCTAATTGCAGACGTTGCGGTAAATTCCGTCAACTCCGAAACCTTTTGAATACAAACTATGTATTCAAATATAAATTCAAAGCCATACAAATGGGGGTCAAATGAGGCTATGGACATGGCTAGAGTTGGGCGGGGAAGGATGGATGTTCTGTGATGTAATGTGATTGGAGTCAGGTACGACCTATTTTATAGGCAGCTAGCATATTCTAAGCGCTTATATTTAGTAGGAGTCATAATTATCACTTTCGAGTCTCTTGTGCTGCTTGCTACAGGATCTTTGTCTGGTATCTGTCGGTCCAAACTCCCAACGCAGCCTTCTAACCAATGAACTACCTGTTATCTACGCTCGGGGCTACAGAGTGGGCTGGGGTTGTGTCTCTCCTTCCAGTCATGCCTTTTCTCCTTGGATCGTAGCCACAACATTCCGGGTATGCTTACTGGTGCGGAATTCCAGGTACCATATTCCCTGCCACATTCCTGTAGCCAGCCGCCCGTTCGTAATTGGAATTGTGACAGATGCACCGATCAGAGAGGATTTGACGTGGGCCTGGAATAGAATATTACAAGCGGTTAGCTCTATCGTTGCAAATCACTGCAGTCTATTAGAAACTCCCCTACCGGCATATCGTCTGGCCCCTCTGCGCTGTGGCGGTACAAAGCTCCCTTGTGGTCTTCAGGTGCGATTCTATCCAAAGCATCACTCATATCCTCTCGCACGTCTGAATCATAGTTCTCGTTCAGGCTCAAGGCACAACTTGTGTGTTGGACAAAGAGGTGAAGTATGCCGGTCTTGTATGAAGAAATCTCCGGGATCTGAGATACTATATGGTCTGTGACAAGATATGACCCTCGCGAACGGCTGGGGAGAGTGATCCTTTTCTGGAACCAAGACATGGTGGGTATTGCAGGTGTGCAGATAGTTGAGCACGGCGGGAGCTGTGGTTGAGGAGGCGCGGGCGGCTGTGAGGATGAGGAGAGCAGTTGGTAGACGAAGTAAGGAACGGTGATGAAGAGGTCTGGGAAGAAAGCGAGGATGAAGATGAGGATGAGGAAGATGTGAAGCCACGAAGCTCGATTTGATGTGGTTTGCGACCACGACGTCATGAATGCGGGGCGGCGGCTAGCTAAACTACCAGTTATAAATAACCAAATAAAAATACATAAAAATAGAGTCGACAAAATGATTATTAGTCCGAGGGAGCGTTATATATGCGATCGGTAGGAGAGAAGAGTTGGTTATCAGCATCGAAGAGAAGAAGCCGGCGATGATGCTTTTTTTTAGTGCTACGGGATTAACTACAGAAAGAAGCTTCACGTCTACGGCTCTCCTTCCATCAACTCACTCGAGCCGTTGATTCCTGTCCACTTCGGCTTTCCGTCGGGAATATCAACTACTCGCTGCGAGTAGAACATATGCGACCTAGGACGACCGGAGTCAGCGTCCAGCCAGCATCACGATACCCTTCAATCCGCAATCAGTTGGGTTCATACTTGGGATAGAAGATTTCCTTTAGCTTCTGGCGGTCTGGCCCGGTGTCATGTTTGATCAGCTCCGGGTAAAGAAGCAGGACATGTCTCCCTTCGTCCATAATCAAGGAATGGCAGTTGGAGCAGGAGATCTTGCACGGGAGGCTATGCACTGGTTCCATGGTAGAGCTGTTATAGAAATACAGCGAATCATGACCGCGCACGAACTGGACATCGTCCTTGTGGAAAATGGCCGCCCATTGAAATGGCGCTCCTTGAGCAATTGTTAGAAATGCAGTGACTAACGACAAACACAGACTTCAGTAGCTAAATATGCTAACCGTGTAATGTCTGGCAGCCATTACAGTGGCAAAATTTGGAGTCCAATGGCTCTCTTCGACTTATTTCATATTCAACCCGCTGGCATTGACAACGTGCTCTCCACTGCACTTCGCCAAACGGTCCGTTCTCTGGTCGGCGGCCGTATGGAGGGTTTGCCATCCACTTGTCTTCTGATGAGTACGGCATGGTACTGGGTACTCGAAAGGGCCATAACATTGTGTATCTTTTTCGCAGAGCTGATACATAGTATCACTGAAGGGCCGGATTGTTTGTATATCGAGAGGAATGGTATGACGTCATGAGAAGTAACCACTTTTCCCAGCTACCTGGCTGAGGATAGCTCTCCAGTCTTCCCGTCACCTTGCATCTTGACAGGGAAGTGCAGAATAGACTGCTTGTTCTCGTCTTCTTCGACTCCTTGCGATGATCGTGTCGTTGGATGTCGCGAAAACGAACAAAAGTCGCAAAAGAGCGAGATGCTTGGCGTTGGTGCTGGGGTGATTATATAAGCGAGCCTCGGCCTGCTTGAAAAGAGCCGAGGAATTGCCGAGAGTAACTAGCACGGACCTTGCTGGCTGCTTATCTAGACGAACGACAACAAGCAACATTCCATCTAGAACATACCCAGGCATCTATGCTCAGTATTTTACGGTGATATATTCCACAGGCTATCTCTATATAAACAACTTGCCTCATAAGTAGCGGGAAATATACCTCTAGCCATGTCGTTCTCCTCCAGTCCCCCAGAATCCCCCTTTTATACCCTTTCCTACCCAGAACAAGGGGTACTACTAGCAACTATAAATCGCCCCAGACATATGAACTCCATCCCATTCCAGGGCCACTGGGACTTTGAGAAACTTTGGACTTGGTTTGAAAATGAGGGCTCTATGCAAGTTGCTATTATTACTGGGGCAGGTGACAAGGCATTCTGTGCCGGACAAGATCTCATAGAAATTGAACAAAATGCAATAAACCCGCCCCCAGAGCCTTATTTGACCGGCCATCCCAGGTCAGGATTCGCAGGTATTAGCCAGAGGAGAGGGAAAAAGCCTATCATTGCTGCAGTTAACGGGTTTGCTTTCGGCGGCGGCTTCGAGATTTGCTTAAATTGGTAGGTTTAGTTGCTCGTACTCTACCGATAGCCGATCTATACTAACTGTTTTTAATCAGTGACATGGTTGTCGCATCACCAAAGGCTCGGTTCTCTCTACCTGAAGCAAAGCGTGGCGTCTATGCTGCTGCCGGTGGCTTAGCACGTTTGATGCGTATTGTTGGACTGCAGATTGCATCTGAAATTGCCATGACAGGCCGAGTAATCTCTCCCGAGGAAGGGAAAGCGTGGCAGTTCGTCAACCGTATATCCAAGACCCATGAGTCGTTGATCGAAGAGACATTGGAGCTTGCTAGAGAGATTTCTCAACTTAGCCCTGATGCTCTTATCATCACCAAGGCTGGGCTTAGAGAAGCTTGGGAAACAGGAAACGTGGAGGTTGCCGTTGGAAACATCAGGGCCCAGTATGACAGAAAGCTTTATGAAGGCGAGAATCTGGCTGAGGGTAAGGCAGAATGCTTCCGTACATCTCGATTTGTTGATTCCTTCGCTAACTGGTGTTCTTCCTAGGCCTTGCTGCATTCCGAGAAAAGAGAAAGCCTAACTGGGTTAAATCGCAGTTGTAACCGTATTGATTGTCATCTATGCCGGCCACTAGCTTCATATTAAAGGAACATATTGAATCATGGCAACTTATGCTTGTGTCTTGTGTCTACACTTGACATTCTGGGGTATGTGTAGGCTGAGGTTGCTCTAACCTTTGTATTCACAAGAATAATCTAAATGAAACCAAAGATACATTGGTGAGATGTACATAATGAATACAGAAACTTGATTTGTAAAACAGTAATATGAAATGGTCACACTATGAATTAAACCTATCGTTGCTCAAAGCCAGATGGAGTAATACGTTGTGTTTCGTTGATCTCAGCGGCATCCCCAGTAGCCTCAAGTGGGTATGAGGTTCTTGGCTGAGCCTCGAGGACTGCACGGTGGTGTTCGTTTGCCTATATAGTTATACGTGTCAGTTAAACGTAATTAAATAGACATAGCCTTGAATATTCGGATGCGTCACTCACGAAGGGAAGGCCGCAGTATTCGCAAGGGCAGATCTGGGGTTTGTCGGTGTTGATGAAAATCCTGGGATGGCCGAGTGGGCCACCACCGCCGTCACACGATACGACTCTCTCCTTTGTCCATCGTACGGGCTGTTTGTGGATTAGATCGATGGCGGCATAAGGTTGAGGCTGTATGTTTTATCACCAATTAGTCCACAATTCATCAAAAGAACATGTAGAGTACCCAATTGACACAGGATCTCTTCATTATTCCATATACATCCCCGGAAAACGCCCATAATCAATTGACTGACCTGGAAATCAATGATTGTCTGCTCGAATCGTGGACCAGCCATGGCCTTGGACCGCTCTTGCTGGTTCTTCGCCCAAGTAGTTGCTCGGTTTGGGGCCTGCATGGAAAGCTGCTTCTGCGCATGCTCAACTGTCTCTTGCATTGATGCGGGCTCTCTGGCATTGGTCTCGGATATGCTCGTAACCGGCTTCTGGGGGTTTGGGTTATTGGTGGGAATAGTGTTTTCGCTCAAACGAGGGACCGTCGAGGTGTATGTGGCTCGCTGAACATAGCGGGACGACTGCGCCGCAAAAAGGCACAGCCGTGATCGTGTAGACGACAACATTCTGGCGGTCCGGATGCAATAAGTTGGCCTCGCAGTTGTTGAAGATGGGTGGATTTGATTTGTTTCGATATGAGAGGTGGTTTGGTTGTTGCCGCTTTAACTAACTAACTAAGCGCGCAAGCGACGGCGCTTGGCGGAATATTAAATTTTATTTATCGCGCTTCGGCATCAAGATCTCAAATAAATAGAATCGGCGAAGAGAAAGAAAGGACGCTGCTCCAAGAAATAATAATTATACGCTTCAATAGTGTTCAAGGGCTCTTTAGGAATATCCAATTGATATATCCGCACTAGGCGACTGTTACTAACTATAGAATCTGCAACCATGTCGCAGCCAAAGGGCATGTCCTCGAGGCTGCTCACAATGAAGGTCCGTTACTGTTCTATAACTTCTTCCAGAAATGATTTTAACATTCTAAATTAGTTTATGCAACGAGCAGCCGCTTCCGGAGCTAGTAATAACTCAACCCCAGCTCAATCACCCTCGGGATCCCCCTCCGGCCGCAAGCGCGCCGAAGATATATCTTCCCCAAGCTCAAAGCGACGAAAACTTGTTGAAGGTTCACCCTCCGAACCTTCCATAGTACAATCGAACAGCTCTGATATAGAAGCGATATCAGCTGCAATTCGAGCCGAGGATAGTAAAAGATCAGAGGCTATAGCACGACAAGCTGCGGATGCAGGGGAAACCCAGTGGGTATTAGAATACCCTCCTGGGGCTTTAAAGTCTGCAGCGCCCCGAAATTCAATAGGCAAAATAAAAGACGAAGAAAACGATAGCATTGAAACTACATATACAGGGAGGAAGAGCTATGGGGGTTTCAAGAAAAAACGCCAAACAGAGGTGAGTGCTCCATATGTTTTATTTCCTTGGTCAAAATTTGCAGTTAGCGGCTCACACAGACTTCCTTAGACTCCTGAACCGTCAGAAACACCTAAAACAGATTCAAATGCTGGAAGTAGCGCAAAGAAAGTCAATCTTAGTCGTGCCGTTAAAATGGGCCGAATATCGTCAGGAGGCATCAGCGGGAATGCGTCAAATAAAGGGAAGAATTGGAAGAATCGGCAATAAGCTTCTTCCTTTTCCCTTGGGAAAATATATGAATTTTCTGGCAAACCAGATCTATTTTGAGCGTGTTTTCGGTGTTGGTAACACCATGGATTTGTTTGGCATCATAAATGTTCTGCTATTTTAATGATACCCAGTTGTTACTACTGCCACAAACTGCGCTATATATTACATATGACCGAGATATTATATAGACCTTCCTGTTTCCATTACAGTTTTGCCTTGTCGCTCCGCTGCTTCTCTTCCCACCTTGCCTTCTCCCTATAATTTCTGGCCAGGTTCCATGCAGCTACCCCAACCCCTAACGGAGGAACTAGTAGTAACACCCATGCCCACCACTGTGGGCTTGTGGAACTGATATGCGTGATTGCTCGCCTAACCTCGACTTCCAACTCCGACTTATCTCCATCATTCCAGACAATAACACCTCTTGCATTCTCCGTCCCTCTGAACTCTGCCCTCTCAACCTTTCCCTGTACGTCTCCTTGGCTCCTCACACGATTCTCTGCATCTTCAGCACTAAGATGAGGATCCCTGGCACGCAGTCTCTGCATTTGAACAGCTGGGTCTTTGACTCCAACAACAATAACAGTCCCACAAAGAGCATCCAATCCACTCTCGAAAAGAAGAGGAACGTCCAAAACGACAGCCCAATGTCCATGTATGTAGTACCAAAGCAAGGCTCGATACATCTCCCATCTTACAGCAGGATGCACAATTCCATTAAGGACTGATCGGTCCTTTTTTCGCTCTGGAGAGTCGCCAAATACTCGTCTGCCAAGAACTGGTCTGTTTAAGGGCCGCCCTTTACCGGGTTGTTCCTCGGGGAGTAGCAGATCAGGAGTTGTAGGTTCAAAGTAGTCGACTATAGCACGATATCCGGCAGTCCCAGGCTCGACAACTTTTCGGGCCAGCACATCTGCATCGATTATGGGGATGTTGTAGGGGGGAGAGGAGAGGAGGGACGAAACTGTCGATTTGCCGGTGGCTATCGAGCCGGTTAAGCCGATAAGAAGCATGCTGCGTGCCCGAGTTCAGTGGGTATCAGTCTAAGTTGGTGATTTAAGAGTAAGTCCCATAGAGCTACAGACAGCAGAGTATATGATAGATGGCGTTGTCATTGCATTATACAAAGTGTAGTGTTGTTAGTGGTTGCGGAATCAGGAACGACGTCACCAAGAAATAAATGCCTCTTCAGCCTCGGCTTAGCGCATGCTTAATTTATATGCCAGTAACACCGAAATTACTAACTAAACACTCCAAATAGAATATATATTGGGTTATACTTGACTGACATGAACGGAAATCAAGGAGATGCGAGGATGGTAGCCTTCGCTAATAATTTGATAATTTTAACTTAACCGTTGATTTCTCCATATTCGAGCCATCCCATAATAATAAGAAGAAACCGTCAATACCAGCAATTGAAGAAACAGAGACGAAACAAGCGCATGAGCGGCCCAGGCTAGAGATCTACCAGCAAATGGAACTAAATAAACAAAAAAATAACAAAATTACTCCTGGTCGCCTGGAGCGAATTCATCCATCCCGATGTCCTGTCCATTTGCTGTGTCTTCTCCGCCTGCCAATACTTTGCTCTTTGGATGGACTCCATTGCTAGCCTGGTGGCCAGGAGTAACAGCCACAACATTATCGTTCTCATCAACAAACTCAAAGTTATACCGAGATAATAGATGAGGGATTGCTGAAAGCTGGGGCCCGTAACGTGCAGTGTTGTCGTATAATTCAAAGAGGGGTACTGCAAGTAATTTCATGTTCTTGGGGACCGAGAGAACCTCTATAGATAATGTCAGTGTTATGATCTTATTATAAATCCTTAAATCCATGCGCTCAAAATGGGATGTAACATACTCTTTTTGGGAAGCTGGAGGAAATATAGCTTTTTACACTCCTTCGGTCGAGTAACATGCCCCGGTAGGAAGGGGTACATAAATGTCTCGAAGTTTGGCCGCCACCATTGTGCCAGGGTGTCACCGACTTCCCAATCTTCATTGACGCCTTCGCCAGTGAATTGTGAACCAACTGGCGCAAGTCTTTCGTTTAATCTCGCCTTGAACCCTTCGATCTCGTCATCTGAATGTTGTAGGTAGTCTCCAGGTCTATTATGAAAGCTGTCAGCAGGCTCAATCGTAGGACGCCGTGACTCGGGTTACATGCTTACAATTTGAAGAAAGCATTTGCAATTTGTAGCATGAGAACATGTGGATGGTTATGTTCGTGACATACTAGTACGCCCTCACAAGTACGGCGCATTCCATACTGCTCGTAGTGTTCTTCTAAACGCTTTAGGCGTGCGAGAACTGAGGGGTCCTCCTCAGGTTGCGTCTCCTTCGTGCCGAATGTGTAGTTTGATAGAGGATATAGTCTGATTGTCTTTGGTTGGTTTGCGGAGAATGATTCGGGTATGATAGGCCTGAAGTATATGTCAGTAAATATCAGAAATGGCATGGTCCGCGCAGATACTGCATTTGGCCCTTAAAATGCTACCTATGTTGGCGGTAGCTTCCAGTAAGACAACTTACGGTCGTGAGCTTTGCAACGATATCGGGGACACGGCAGACATGATGGTTGATATATCGTGGACAATCGCGCTTCCCACGTCCTATCAGTCACTCTATATTGCCGTTGATTCTTTAGAGGATGCACCAATTTGTTCTCTTGATGTTTGCAGCCCTGAGCTTTCGGTCGTGCCTTTTCTGCTTGCTTCCTATCAGTTGGTAGGCCAACGGGTCCAAGCTCTACCTAGGTAGTCAGGTGACTGATACACGGATATTAGATTATCCGCATATGATTATGTAATGATATCTAACGGACACGTGATTGCCTCTCTAATTAAATTAGAGTTTGCGGCTCTCAACCCAATCTTCACTGTCACTTCAATAACTTCAATAATAACTGGTGAAGCCTCAAAGTGACGACTCCCGCGATTCACAGCTACAGTTAAGTATATAAGGACATAATGTAGCATGTGGAATGCTACTTTTAGAGTTCTCCATCTTCGTCAATATCAAGTGCCGTAAGCTTACCACAAACCATCATTATCCTCCCGCGCACAGTACTTCGCTAGTCGCAGACAAGTGATCAGCTTCCAGACCCTGATAAGCGGGATATTGACGATTTCTACTGCTTTCGAAAGCAGTTCTTGCGGCAATACGGAGTACACAACCATGAAAGTGTGGCTTATCGATCCTTTAGCCCCTAATTTGAGGGTGAGGTGCCAGAAAAGTTACAACTTCATATAGCTGATACTATATATTGCACGAGATGATGTGCCCTCTATGAGAGGGGAAGGCTTTCTCTCAGAATACACCGAGAAGACCATATAGCTATCCCTTTCTAGAAGAGGAGTTGACTATCCGAAATTCCCGGGCCTCTACTGGAAGATGCTCATTGGATGCGTCGGGACAGGAGATGGATACAAAAGATTGCCCGATTTGTGACCGCGTACGCACAGCAGCAAGCTCCGTCAACTCTAGAAGAGACTACACTTGGCTATTCTCAGCCCAGCAAGGTACCTTATGAAGGAGTACTGGAAATGAGCGGGGAGAAAAGTTCCGTCAAACTGCAGGGCCAAAAAGGGAAGACCCCCTAATTGGTTCCGATTACCTATCTGGAGACTTACCAGCTTCAGGAGCGTCCCCGAGCATCCATACTAATTCCGCTTATCCTTCGCTGTTGTGTCAGGGAAGTATGGATTCAGCCTGCTGTTTGCCGTGCCCTTCCGATAGCGTTCGCCACACAAGATACCATCGGAGTAAATGCTAACCAAGATATTTACTGCAATTGCGAAGAGCAACTCTCTCCTTGCAACCGGCCTTCCTATTGCCTATGATCGGAGGGAAATTCGATCCATTATGACAACGACACGCCAGCTACTACAGCAGCTTATTGATGCAGGTATTTCTGCAGTTGACTAGCTATAAGGAGTTGGAGTCGGCGATAGCGATGTATCGTATAACTATCTACATAGTTATTCCAGAGAGAGTACGGAGTAGCCCATCTTCATAAGAAATTTAGAGGCTTAGAATCTTAATTACCTAAACACCTATTGGCAGCATAGCCTTTTCTCGTTGACATGAGGGTGCCCAGACAGCCCCTCACACATGCAGCATGGCAGGATTAACAATTTCAGCCAATAAAAATGGAACAAGCAAAAATGCGTTTGCTTTGCATGAAATGTTAGCCCTGCAGCAGCTGGCCCTTGAATGCCGAACTCCATGTTTAGGCGGCGGGGTTAAATGAGCCAACATATAAAAACAGGAAGAAAACATCATTCTCCCGCAAACGCAACCCTTTCCGCCCATCTCGTTAAATCAAATTTATTAATCGATAAGCCTTGTGACCACAACGAGAATTGACCAAAACCCCAAGAGCAACAGAAACAAGGCTTTTTAGCTTCAAGTTCAACCTTAATCATCCTGACGAGTAAACATGGCGAGTGCTTTGAAGAAATTTGGCGAAAAGATCCTCGGAGATTCGAAACAACTCAAGAAGCTATTCAAAGAGATCACCCCTGGCGGTCGCATCCTGCCAACCAGGACCAGCAAGAAAGATGCTGAGTACCAATGTCGACTTGATATGGGAGAAGAGATCACGGGCAAACCTGGTTATTACAATGTGTACCTTCAAGTCAACACTCAAGCGAAAAGTGAGGGGCTCAAAAATTGGCTGCGGAAAAACCCACATGGGAATCTTGCAACAACACAAATAAACAAAAATGTTCTAGAAAGTGAACAAGATAACGAAGGACGTCGTGTGGTCGAGGATCTGATTGAAATGGGCAGGAGGAACCTCTGAACTGTCCAAGTTCTTCGATGTCAATATCAGTGACCGGGTTGTGTACTACTGCCTTTCATGTTGCTTGTACCTTGGTAAGATAACTTCAACCAACGGGGATTGGCCTCCTGTGTTAACTTTTCTGCTACTACGCAAATAAATAGCTAGCCTATTGAATAGCCGTTTTGCTGTAGAGTTTATGTCTTTTCATATAGTTCGAGTTAAATATAAAGTATATATATACTATTACAAGAAAGTTTAAGCAGTAAGCTATACTCATTACTAGATATTAGTTATCTAATTAGTAAATAATATCTAGTAGTAAATACTTAATTATATATAAAGATACTTATAATATTAAATAATTAAAAGTTTAAAATTTTATTTTATTAGATTTAATAATTATAAATATAAAATTAGTACTTTATAGTTAGTAGTAATAGAAATATTTTATAATTACTTAATTATTATAATAAAATATTATATATTAATAATATAAACATTAAAAATATTAATATATAATTATACTATTATTGATATAATATTTTATAAGTATAGATTTTTTATATTAGTATTAATTTAAAAAATACTTTTTTTGAATATTTTTTTTCTTTTTTATATATAAGTTTCTCTTACTTTAAAAAAACTCTTTATTAAATATCTAGTAATTAATATTAGATACTTAATAATTAAACTCTTTTTTAGTATTTAATTTCTAGTATAAATTTTATCTAAAAGTAGATAATTTTATTACTCTAAATATTTATTTTTAAGTTATATTATTTAATTTATATATCTAAATTTTTTTATAATATAATTTTTATTTTCATTTTTTATATTATTATTTGAATAAAATAATTTATTAGTATATAAATTAATTAAAATAATAATTATAATATTATTATTATTATCCTCTAAAAAATTATTTAAATTATCTAAATCTAAATTAGAAGAATTTTCTAATAAATTTAAATCTATTATCATATTTTTAAACTATATAGAGGAAATATTCTAATTTTTAAATTTTTTAATAAAAAAAGAAATTACTTTAGAGGTTTATAATATTAAGTCTAAACTTAATTTTAAAAAATTAGAGTAAGCTTTTTTACTAATAAAAATTTTAATAATTTTTTTTAAAATTTATTCTATTATTATATTATTATTAAAAGTAGAGAAGAGAGGAATAATAAGTAATAATTTAGATTTAGTATTTTTAATATATAATCTTTTAATTAGTATTATAAAAATATTAATATAATAGAAGTATTTAAATTTTTGATTATAAAATAAAGTTTTAATTATATATTTATCTATTAAAAAATGAAATAAATATTTATACTAGTATACTAGGTTTAAATTTAGATATTATTTTAGAGATAGTAGCTACTTAAACTTCTAATAAGTAGCTTAGTTGGAATAAATTAATAATAAGAGACTGGTAATTTTTATATTTATAGAGACTAATAATCTAATTATTAATAAAAATTAGATAAAATATTTAAAGTAGATGAATATTTTTTTAGTATAGGTTACTAAATATAATATAATAAATATTGAACTTAATAAAGCTTTATATTTTAAAAGCTAAATTAAATAATAAGTAGTAATAAATTTTAAGTTGAATAATAAAAATTTGATATTTAATAAATTTCAATAAAATTATAATTATTATATTAATAAAAATTATATATAAATTAGTTATTTTAATTAATATATTAGTATATATTTTATTATTTAAATTTCTAGATTAAATATATAGAGATTTCATTTAGAGAGTTAAAACTAATTAAAATTTTTAATATTTTATAGAAAATTAATTATAGCTCTCAATAAAGTAATTATTAATAAAAAATTTATTTATAATATTATAAAATTTCATAATTATTAATATTTTCTCCATATAAATAATATAATTATTAGCTAGAAAATTATAAAATATATTTATTAATATTTAAAAAATCTAATTCTAGCTACTAAATTAAGGGGACTAATAAATTATAGTAAAAAAATAATAATAAAGTAGATAATTTAAATAATAATTAAAATAAATATATTAATTAGAAGATAATTAAAGTAAGAAGACCTTTAAAAGTAAATAAAATAATTAAATTATAGATTAACTAAAGTATAATATTAAATTAATAAAGTGAATAAAAGTAGAGAAAAAGTATTTAACTTTAAAAAAATAAAATAAATATAGTTAAGTACTTTTTAATATATAATATTTTAAATAAATAAATTTGGATTTAAATTAATGAAAAATTAAAAAATTAAAATTAAAATATTTTTAAAAATAGTATTTCTATATTCTAATTTAATTTATTAGGAGTAGCTATAACTAATTCTTTTCTAGCTTCTAAATTTAATAAAAT